ACTAGACTCGTTTAAGTTACGTATCGGTCACTTCTTGGTCAAAGTACTACTCACATATACACTAGTGATTGTCACTGGAGGTTTGTCTTCTGCTAAAAATAACAATTTAAGCACATACACAAAACTCAAAATTCTGTTGAAAACTGCAGACTAGAAACAGGTTAACTTGTTAGAACAACTGTTCGCACTGGAAGGAAAAAGGTTTCATTGCACTATCCCATGGAAGCCTTTGGCCGCAATCTGAAACAGGAACAGTCCTTTAATAGCCACTTCAGCTTGTCCAGATGCAGGGACTAGATATTTTTATTTGTCATCTCAAATGCTGTAGTATTAAAGACTAAAATCACCTTCCAATTGTGATACATCTGCATTATGAATATTAATTATAATTTATTTTAGACTAGCTCTCACCAGTGTTTTCTAATACAGAGCTTCATTCTTGAGTATGCTGAAATTGCACCTTAAGAAAAGCCCTAATTTACTAATGGGATATCTATAAAATTGCCTTTGTTGAATTCTCAGAGGATGCTTTTTAATCACAAATTAGCTACATTTAGTCATACAGTTTTTAAATAACCACAACTAGTGACAGAATTAGGTGCATTCTTCATTCCACTAAAAGAGGGGAAAGAAAAAAAAAAAATCTGAAAAATGTTACTTTAGATAGCAGAACAATACTGGAAATGCTACACTTGGAACCAGGAACCCAGTACCTGATATATTCAGTTCCTGGCTTTCAATGACTGACTGTGTTCATGGAAAATCCCTTAAACTACAATTGCTAACCCATCAGTTTAAAAATACATACTGAATGATCTATGAAGCATTTCACAGATTTTTAGATCTGAAGTATTTAACATTAGACAGTATCAGATTACACTCAACAGATTTGCACTCAACATTCACTTAGCACTGAAGTGGACACACTAAAATTGAAGAGTTAAAACCCACAACCCCCCTAATAACTGCTGATGAGGAGCCAATTAAACAGTCTACTGAAGTTGGATTTTAGGTACTTGAAGTCATTTAAGTACTAGAATGTCTATTTTTACTTACCATTATCTTCTGTGCAGTCAAATGGCATAGGCTATTCTACCGGCTATGTAGCAGAACTAAGAATGCATTTCGTACCTTCCTTAGCACAAAGAAAATAAGTGGTAAGATTCAATGTCTTTTCTACACATTTGTGACCAAAACAAGTGAAATTGTATTGTCACACGAACTGTGCAAACAGAGATAGTGAACTGCCACCATTAATCAGCCAAATGTATCATTCTCGGACTGGAGAGAATCCAGATTTCTGACGCTGCAAGTTTTACCTAAATGACTGTCAAAAAGTAAGTGTTGGCTTTGGAGTAGACACTAAGTTTCATGAACATTCAGGAATGAAACAACTCTTGGAACTGAAATGTATCTTGTGATTCAAACTTTAAATAGTCAAGCTGTATTTAATTAATTATTGCCTACATACTGTGACTGTGTTTTCTAGACTGTCACAGGTGCTTTTTTCCCCTTTTTTAAAAAAGCTTTTACCATGTACCTGGAAGTCTGACCATCCTAAAGAAACTTTCATGATAGCTTTAAATAATCAATGTAACCCAGTGTTTCCAGATGAACTCAGCTGTGCAACACCCACTGGAGTGCTGGCCATTTAAATGTATGTATGTATGTATGTGGAAAAAACTAGTCACCAGTTGGCAAGAGAGAAAGATCATTACATGAGACACATCACCCCTCTTCTCCAAATTCCAAGTACACTAACAAGCTAGTCCTAGTGGCACTTTTCAAACTATCTACTGTAACAATTACTTCAGATCTAAAATAATACACTCTTT